AGGTTGCTAGTAGGGCCATAAGCCAAATTTGACATGGTTTTGTACTGTTTGGTTGTGTAAGGACCGTTTTAGCCCTGATTGTAGTGGAATATTCTAGGAATGATGGCCTAAGGACGAGGGTAAATATGGTCTATGTGTTGTAAAGAGTGTCACTGTAGTGAGCTCACAAGAAATGAAAGGCGAACAATGGAACAATACTATCTTTGCCCCTCCTCCCCTCCACCCGTGCCGGAACCTTAGGACTTCGACGGCAGTTGGCGCCAACCCATAGTTGTAGCCAAGCTTTCCAATGTTAGAAAGAGGTAAAAAAGAGGAAATCCACCAGAAACCTCCAAGAGAATACCAGCATCCACCTCGGATAGTGCTAGTTCGAAGCACCAAAAGGAAAAACTACCCTCGTAGTCATCCATCCATAAGACAAAAACTAAGATTCGCATAAAGAGAAGAAGCTGAACAATATGCACAACTAGCGACGAAGAAGCCATTTACAGTGCAAGAAGAAAGCAAAGAGAAGAGATATATAATGAGTGCAAAGTACAAGGAAAACTCGAAGCCTACAAAGAAGAATTCAACAACCTATTGAAGTAAAAGCAGCAAATCACTTATAAAATCGTTGCAAACATTGTGGCAGAGGCATGAAATCAAGCATGCACGAAGCCAAAGAAGCCACAACCAAAAGACCCAATAGCAAAGTACGCGGCTTAAAGAAAAGCAGAGACTACACTCAAGATTCCAAGACCGGATCCTCAACACTAAGGTTTTGTTTGGTTGGTGTGTTTTGCCCCGTTATCCGTTTACGCCGCTACCAGGTAGCGTTGCATTTAGTTTGGTTGAGGTTAACGGATATCCATTTTGCCAAACCAAACAAATTACAGTATTGATTACTTTGCAACAGGTAGCGGCATGAATGAGTTCCACTTCCCATTTTTGTTCCTGTACGTATTGCCCGAACCAAACAGCACGTAAATTCAAGCACACTTGAGGGACATGTTATTGTTTGACAAGAACTCTCCTCTCGCAAATCATTTGCAAGAACAGTCTTGGCCTGCGTATTACAAACCCAAAGTACCAAGATCAGACGGGCAAGCCAACCATCGCAATTTCATCGCCAATTACAAGACAACCGTTGTATCCGTAGGGGACAACGTTTGTTGCACTCAAAGCTATTCATATTCATACTAGTAATTGATGGCATTGTTCACGACGGATAGTCTGATACACTTCACTCAAACCGGCAAACCGCGGTCCATAGCTGTAGGAGCAAATCGAATGAGGCTTCTCATGTACCACATGCAACCGTTATCGCCACAGCAGTCGAAGGGCTTGGTGTAGGATAGAGCGTCTCACACTTCGCAAGAAATGCACCAGCATTAGTAAATAAATTAAAGTTATGGCTGAATATTCAAAGTCAGACACCAACTATCGTAGGAGACTGGAGATGCGAAGCGCGATCACACCTCCGCTAGTTCAACAAACAAAGGCAACACTTAGGCCTTATTAAATGCACATGTATCCATCTCAATCTACATTTGTTGAGGTGTGAATTGGAGTACATCCAAATAAGACCTTGAGATGCTGTTTGGTACGGAGGTTTTGCTCCGTGATCTATTTACAGGGTATCCCATACCGCCCACCTTCCGAAGTTAAGGCCCTGTTCGCTTGAACTTATCAGCCGTACCGTTTTTACGAAATAAGTATTTTTCTCTTACAACAAATCAACATCAGCATCAGCCGTTTTTTCAGCCAGCCGAACAGGGCCTTAATCGTTAATGGCCTGCATGTCTCCCAACAGACGATGATTCGACGACAGAAGTGATAACCCCTTCGCGCATAGTCTCCGCCACGGCGCCACCGATGACAGGCCTACCACTGCCGGCGACGTAATGCTTCCGACGGATCCTTGCCGGGGAAAGTGGCCTGCGCCGCCACAGTCCACCTCCATCGCGTCGCCGGAGACCTTCCCCACCGCTGGCCGCTGGTGCCCGACTGTCCGCCCTGTGCCGCGCTGCCAAAGTTCACCCACTCCGCGCGTCTCCTCGTCCGCCGCAGGGTGTGTACGCAGGAGATGGACACTGGCTGCTGGCGTGGCGCTGACTCGCTGAGCAATGTCCCGTGGATGATGAAGGCGACCTCTTGGTCTCCATTATCTGATTCTATTACAGACAGGAACCAAACAAAGCCAGTATTGGCTTGAATTGTTTCCATTAGCAGTGCTTTCTATTACCGTTTGCGTTTACATTTACATGATGCAACCAAACACCACCTAAGTCTTTGCGGCAGCTAAGAAGTCAAAAAAAAAAATCAAAGCTTATGCCCATCATACTAACAACCTCGAGCAAACCCCGGAGTCCCAACCTGAAGAAGTGAAAGCAAAGCCAAGAACAAAAGGTCCCAACCTGAAGAAGTGAAGAGCAAAGCCAAGAACAAAAAGGTAATGGGAATGCCTCTCGGCTCTCGCGGAAGCCAAGGAGGCCATTACAATAGAGGTCGTGGAGGCCGAGGTGGAAAGAGAACATGGCGAGTACCACCATACTGTTTCACATGCGGAGAAAACGTAGGGCACATTTCGAGAGAATTCAAATTCTAAAAAAATGGCGATGGAATTGAAGACAAAGAAACATCAAGATTAAATCCAACGAATCATATCTATCACATGACTGCTCCGTAGGAAGATTCCAGCTTCACACACCCAGTCCTCCATCCTGTTGGGTCAACCACCGTGGTAGCTAACTACGCAAATTCAAGTAACAAATGGTGGCCCAACATCAGCCTGCATCCTAATTCAGCCCTGTCCAGTATAGTGTAGTACCCGCCACCTCTTCTGGCCAAATTTTAGAGCAACAGTATTCCAAAACAAGAAAAACCACTTAACTATAGCAGCAGAATATTCCAAAACAAGAAAAACCAGCCCAATAGTGTTTTGCCAGTTATTGAAGTTAACAACATTCTACCTTCTCTTAATCTCTCAGTCACATATTCACAATCACCTCGTGTCAAGACCACGAAAACAAACGTATCCACAAAGACTACCAAAGGATGCTAAACATAGCGCCCCAGCTCCTATAAAACAGACTAGCATGGTCCATGGCACCAATAACCTTCACCGAAGAAGACTTGAAGGTTTGGGATTACCCACACACTGATGCAAATGTAGCAGGGTACACTTTACACAATATACTCATTGACACTGGAAGTTTACAGATATCCTATTCATCAAACCTTTTAACAGTATGAATATGGACAGAAGGTTGCTAGAGCTAAAAGCCTAAAAGGAAACCTTTGTATGTGTTCGAGGTAAAGAAAATCAATGCTATTGGGAAAAACGACATTCCAGTCCCCTTCGAGGGAAACAAAAGTCAAAATAGAAATAATCACATTTGTCATCGTCAACGCTGCCATAAAGCAAAAGCTACATCGGCATGGAAATTCCTTCACCATTTGGAATTGTAATGACCCAAAAACCCAACCTTGTCAAAAATTTTCGATAATTCCTTGTAAAACCCAATCCTATCCCATAATCCTTAGATGATCTCCCGAAGGAGCCTAGCCACTTGCAATCATGCATCAAAACCTGGTTAGTTGAAACTTCTCAAACAAGAGATACCCTTTTTCCTAGCCTAGCTCATCCTAGTTGTTCAGATAATCTATGACGTTCCTTTCCTTTGGCTCGACCTCTCTATCGAGCCCTACCTATCCTTATCAACCTAATGAGATATACTCAACTACCTTATTAGCACATATTAAGTATCGGTGCAAACTTAAGCATCTTATCCACCTCACAAGCATCAGGTACTAATGTATGGTGAGAATGGTGAGAAAAAGAAAAGAGAAATGACTACGTTTGTGGGTTAGTATAGTCAAAAGTAATACAATAGCCTTCAGAATTGACTATAGTTGTTGTAACTAATAAATTAAAGTATTTTCTACAAAAGATACACCAACCATAGTTATTGTGCCAAGTCTATCAACTGATAACCTGAGATAACCCTGCAACCATGAAGAAAAGAAAATTAATTAATATACAGCTTCTACAAATAATATCAGTAGGCAATATTCAATATTATAAATAAAAATGGTTAACATCTAAAGATTAAACAGATTATAAGAATTTCTTGCTGCATTGGTACAGTTCCATTATTTCAGTAGACAAGTTTCTGTAGCGAATTCAAGTGTATGGAGTCAATAAAGCAAAAGAAATCTGTCTTCAGTCTTCACTAGTCAAGACCCAGTCAAGTTTATGGGTCAAGACAATCAATTTGATAGCCATCAGCAAGTCCATTATACAAGGTCCTCTACCATTTATACTTCCCATGTAAAAGCCATGACAGAAGATCCATTTTATGTACTTTTATTAGGTACGCTAATTGAGTGTAGCATATACCAGTTTCGTGTATCCCCATTTTCCTTTGTTTTGAAACCAGGATTCCTTGTATAATTTCATCAATCTCTTAGTTTTTTTCGAACCATTGACTACATTATTTGACATAGTCTAGCAGCTCATCTCTATTTGAGATACCCCACTCACTTATTGCAATTCAGAATTAAATTGATTCTATTGTTGATATATTCGCAATGTACATATCCAAAAGTTTTTCTCTCCAGCCTCCCTCATCCCTTTATTAGAGTATTCAAAATCATACCATAACACTTATATTCATTCCTTTTTCCTTCTAATCTGAATTAGAAATTTCATTTTCTATGATTTTATCTTCTCCTTTGTAAACTATTTATCCTTAAACTATTATCAAAAAAAGAAAAAAAATTATACTAGATAAATAATCAAACAGATATATAACCTTATGAACTATGCATCATGCACCTATATATATGTAAAAGCAAGATACAGCTAGCACTGAGGTTAAATCATTCCACCGAACATTAACACTGCTACAACTTAGTGATACTCCAATGATAGAACAAATAATTGCTGTTAAACCATATGTGAAATGAGTGCATATTGGAAAGACGAGCAATTTTATCCTGGAATGATAAGATTAACCTCAATCATAGGATGGTGACCGCACAACAGATGAGTAGTAGTGTGCCTCTAGCTCCTTGAGGCTTGCTGCTGCCTCCTGCCCAATCCTCTCCAGCATTCTCTCAGTTCCCTCAGCTTGCTGACCCAGCACTTCAATCCTCCTATCCACATTCTCATTCAATGAAGCAAGCCCAGAAAAGATGGCTGTCCTCTTAAGTTCCGACACTAATTTCAACAGAGAGTCAGCTGAATGTACCTAAACAGATAAAGACATAAGGGAATATCAGAAATTTTTAGGTTCAAGAGTTGATACATGATTCTTCTTGCCATTTTCATCATATTCTAGAGTTGTGCTTTAGGTAAATAACTGACTGCGTATGTCAGAGACAATTAAGCAAAACATCACTTTCCTCTATAGCATATGGAAGGGGGGGGGCATGGTTATTCACCTGTCTTCCATGACCACTTTGTCTATAGTGACCTAAGTAGGGTCAATTCTAAGGTAAACTTCTCCTCTTGTCATGTCTATAAGCTGCGTCTACTGTCTATCATGGAACATCGGTTCTAAATGCATGGCTTTAAATGAAATCCAGGTTCTCATACCCCAACCCAGGTTTATCTTTCTGAGATAGTGCTATGTACATCTACACTTCTCCAGTTATACATAATCAGATCTTGCTTCTACCCAACTGGTCCCTGTTTCAATAATATCCTTATTAATATAGCTCCTTCATTTTCATTTGGGCGATACCACAACCCCATGGCAGGTCACACCTATAACAGTATCACATTTTGCACTACATATCACCATGGAGTATCCAATGTAATATTACAGACATACATCTATCTTAGCATATTACTTCCACTGATCGGAGACTTTTTTAATTTTGAGTAGCAATATTTATACAGATATATTACCTTAAATATAAGAGAGTTATACATATCATTAAATATTCTTTAGTTTTTATAATGTGTGCTGTCAATCTATACAAAACTTTAGATATTGATGGTCAAAGGTAAAAGAGTTTGACTTAGGACAAACCTAGAAGGACCAATATTTCACCGATCAGAGGAAGCATATCCTTTATGATTCTACAGCTTGGCTATCTCAAGCAGTCAAGCTATAATAAGATTACATCACCCAACAGCTTCTATGTTGTGCATGATATAAACTGATGACAATGACACAAAGGACAGCTGGCTGAACCCAACTCCTCCTTGTCCAGTAAATTAACTAGATTGGAGCCAAGTTGAGCTTGTCAGAACTTAAAACATTGGAAGAACCTCATGCACTGCTTTTATAGTATAGTATGCTTGGAACAAATGTGCAGCCTTCTAGCTTCCCATGCCCCAACAGAATCACAAAAGTAAAGCGAAAGTAATATTTCCAGAGAAACGAGAAAGCAATACTCTGTTGCTTTTTATAAGAAAAATCAGGCCATGCAATTTACTTTTCTCTCCTCTAACCCCAATTTTGGGGCACTGCATGCTAAAACGGCTTAGAAACCACGGTACAGATTTTTTTGGTGTATAAATATCCTCGCTCCAAAATTTTGCTCATGTATCTAGAAAAATAACTAACAAGGGAATGCCTGATTCAGACAGTTTCAGAATCAAATCCGCTAACGGTTGGTGGGCAGCGAGCAGGTCCATACCATGCGGGCGGCGCGCATCTCCATCTGGAAGGCCTCCTGCGAGTTGCGCACAGGCGGATCGTTGATCTAACCATGGCATTCCGAGCTAGGGTTAGTCCGGAGTGCTTCAGGCTGCCGGATTCGAGGGGGAAAGGAGGGCGCACAGACGTACTCGGGCGATGTTGATGAGGGAGGAGAAATTGTCGACGAGGCTGGAGACGTCGGCGTCCGCCTTCTGCAGCAGCGACTTCTGCTTCTGCACCGCGGCCGCCGCCGCCGCGGCCGTCGGGCCCGGGGCCTAGCCGGGACCGCCACCTGCTTTGCTCATCGCGGGTGACTGCCGCTTCGACCTCTGTGGGCTGCACGTGAGAGCGCGTCTTGGTTTGTACGTATCCCTGATAATAAAGAGGCCAAATTTCTGCATTCAGCCCATGACTTTTTTTTTCTTCTACGCACCTGGCACAGGCAGATCCAATCCCACAGATCGAACTTGTAGAGGTCGACCTCCGTCACCTTCCTCAGAGGTGGTGCACCACAAGCTCCAGGGAACCGAAACGGGTGGGGAAACAGAGGCGCGGGCGAGGTCGCGACAGGCGAGGTCGAGAGACGGCAGCGCGGACGAGGTCCAAAGACAGTGGCGTAGAGTGGAGTAGCTAGGTCGGGTTGGGATGGAGTTGGGAGTCCCAGGCGGAGAAGTGGACGGGGCGGCGAGATGAGCCATCGGGACGGGCGTGGCGCGGGGCGGCGAGGAGTCGTCGTCGGGTCGGGGACAGGGCGAAGCCGCGACGGAGACGGACTGGAGCGCGACTCACGATGTGGAGGCGACGGGATGTGCGGGGATGGGGAACAACGGTCAGATGCGGGGTGGATTCAACGGATGGTGGTCTGATGTGAATGAAAGAAAAATAAATAAATAAAGGAATATAAAAAAGAAAAAAAATCAATAGCGGTGCCCTTCCGCGTCCGTCGTTACACAAGTCACGGAAACAACGGATATACGACAAGCAGCCATGACTGGCCATACTGCACCTGTTGGTCTCCTCCACCGGTGAATCACGATCAAAATCAAAAGGTTAAAACAGAATCCAAGTCGACTTCCGTGCTTCTGGAAAAAAAAAAAGACGACAGTTGGATCCGTCCGGTGGAGTCGTGGAGATATGAGATGTCGTGTTCCCATCTATTTATGTGAGATTGCTCGTCTGCAAATCTGCACACATATAGGACCGGACCTATCACGCCGCTTGCGATCAATGTCTGCACAAGCTCACTAATGGCCACCGAACTCACACTGCTCGATCTAAGGAAGAGCCGATCTCATCGATCGCTCCGCGTCTTGACAGTCCATGATTGTGGTCTAGACACATAATAAAATCCTTTTGCAGCTTTGTACTTCCGATCAGTGTGCTTGATTGATTGAACTTCTTTGTGATTGCATTGTGATTTGCTCAATATGCCAACTGTTTCATAGCTTGAGAAGGACGAAAAGTATCAGTTGGTTTATGAGCTTCTAAACATATTCCTTGCTAAGAGGCTTGATTCCTACTATGAGTTTCAGACAACAAACTCTGCCTTGCTGAAAGATTATGGTATCTTCTCTGTCAGATCAGTACCAATGTTTTTCCCCTTTCAAATTCAAGTATCCCGCACATCTTGGTTTTATTTCTTTGACTTTTGATGAACAATCGACACGACTCGTTCACGAGGAGTGTGTAACCAAAACGCGCCTCATGTCTTTGCTTGATCTGAGCGGCCGCTGCTCTGGCGAAATCCCTTATTCTGTAATCACTGTTGAACTTAGGGTAAAGTGGTTGTTTTACTTGCTATTCATTCAATCAAATAGCTTTTGTTGACCTTGCTGGAATTTTTATTGAATTTTGTAACCCCTCATTAGATCAATGATGATGAGGTGGAGCAATGGATTGTGAAGGCAATTGCATCCAAGATATTGGATTGCAAGGTTGACCAGCTTAACCAGACTGTCATCGTCAGGCATTCATGTCACTAAGACTTTGCAGACTATCTTCATCTTTTAGCAGTGGATCAATTTTTGTTTGTTTAATCATATTATGCTATGTTGTTTTGGTTAATTTGTGGTTTGTTGTGTAAATTTTAGTCGGCATACGGAGAGGATCTTTGGGATGGCACAATGGCATGGTCTGCGCACAAAGCGCTTGGAGGGTAACCTCTTGATTCATATAGAATTTGCTACTTGATTTAAGCGCGTTATCTAGAGCCTACTTATTAATGTTTACTGTGCTCCTGATTGAGTTTTCTTGGAAACTTATGACCCAGGTAAACATTGCCAGTGCTATCAACACAATACAAGCTAACAAAGTCACTGAAGAGGGGACACAAGGGATGCAAGGCTTGATGATCCGCTGATTTGAGGTGGGCCTGTGAATCGAGATTATAGCGTGAGATTGGAAGATCGATCTTTTTGTACGAGACAAATTGTAATGATTTAGATCCTGTGATCATGCCGGATAGTGAAGCATGCTAGGCAATATCGTTGTTCCTTGTATTTGGTCAGACAGCCATGCAGCGCAAGGCAGTTACACATACCAATTTTTTCGACATGATGCAGCCCGTCCTGATAAATTTCTTTCACTAATATTTTTGACCTTTTCCAAATTTTGATCATCATCATGTGTTCGATCAGAGCATCTTGTGATATCCTTATTATTTTACTTTCCTCGGATGGTTGGACTTGTGCACAAAGCCATAAACAGTATTGTTCTTCCTGCATTTTTGTTTTTTTTTTCCGGGAGTTACCGTCTGATTTTTGTTCTACGGCTAGCAAATTAATTTTACATCATTACCATCGCACTAGAAAATTTCGTCACTTGCCCATAAAAAAAGATCCATGGTTTTATTGAAATTAATGAAGTAATATGCAGAAGATTAAAATTTTGTAAATACACGTTTTTGTTATATGAACTAAAATGTGAATGCAAAATGCATTTCTATTCCTCTGAAATACAACACCTTATTATCACCTAGGATAATAACTTTACAGATCATCATACAAGAACAACAAATTCAGCACTTTCTATAGAACCCCATGAGTAGAGCAAGAAATTTATTTAAAACTTTTTATATGTCGCCTTTTGGCTTGGATTCAATGGATAATGTGTGAGCATTTTATCTTTTGGAAGTCTTCTGCTTCTCTTTGAGGATTTCCGTTATCTTCTCTTTGCATTTTTGTCATTCAGACGTCATAGAGATATATGGAAACTACAATGGTCATCAATTGCACATTTGTAATTGTTGTTATGTAAATTTGCTGAAGAAACTGGAACAAAATTTTCTTCATCAGAGAACCGAGCAAACTGTAAGATAATTTGCTGCTCTCTTTTGATTGATTGCTGCAGAATAGGATTAGCTGCTGGTCAGCTCTTGCTGTGCATCCTAGTTGCTGTAGCAGTATGCCAATAAACCATGTATGTAGTGGCTTACCTCAGCCATGTAGAGTAGTTGGGCTGAGCTAAGCCTTGTACTATTATACTATGAGTTGGTGTACTCACCATACTCACCTGGTAAAGGTACTAGAACTTGTATATGTACTAAGGCATTTCAGTAAGAGAAAAGGAAGCTCGTTACTACACTTCAGGCGTGTGTGTGTTGTGTTGTGCTCTCTGTTCTCACCCCTTCTTCTATCTCTAGCCATGGTGTGTGTGAGAGTGCTCGTGAACTGATTACTCACCTGTGCAGGGGATTTCCGTGCCAACACAAACTTGCATAGTTGCATTGCATATGCTACAATGCTAGTCAGCCTTGCAAAAATGTGATGTACATTTTTGTCAGTGAAGCTTTAGAGACTTGCTCTTCTTGATTCAAAAACCTATACATATGTATTTTTGTGTTTATAACGTCTTTGTTTCTTGCTGTAATTCGCCAGGCTTGTTACTATCGCGCTAGCCTTTATAGGTAGGCAACCACATCCTTTGAATTCCATGGTGTAGAGAATGGCATGCAATCACAGTCTGATAGTCTCTCCTGTACCAGAATCTTTTCGATGAGATTAGCGAGTGGAAATCAATCCGTCCTCGCCTTGCTCAAATCAATACAAATGCAATTAGATACAAGTAGAAGATAGACACACTCGACAGCGACGAAACGCTGAAACTTTTGACCGCATGCATGACTTATTTAACTGCATGACTTATTTACTACAGTATCAGTATCAGTTTGCCGACAGCATTATTTGCTTGTGGAAGGAAGCAGGAGGATGGCGGCAGGCAGCGTCAGTTCTCGGTTGGGTAGGCAGCAGCCCATCCAAGTTTTAGGCACGACGAGAGCATTGAAAACATGCCTGAATATCAGGTGCATGCACTGGGAGTATATATATGTGTAGTAACTTTTTTAAACTTTGCACTGCGAGATGTGTAGATAGATGAGTCAAAACTCTGATTATTGCAGTTGCTCCACTTGGACAGATATTTGTCCTAAGTGCTAACTCCATTGGTATCGTCATCATCCATACATGCATGGATGAGTTTAACTGAAGAAATGGACTCAGGTAGTGGAGTGTGGGGTGAGCAAAAGGTTGTAAGAGAGACGGCCACTAGTAAAAAAAGGTTTCTATTTCCGACTGTCAACTCCCTTTATTTTCGGTTACACAGCCGAGAATAGGAGTTCGGGAATAAAGGGTTAGTAGCCGGGAATAGAAGTGGACCTTTAGACCAACCGGGACTAAAAAGGTAGCCACGCCAGCGCCTGGGCTGGCCCCTTTATTCCCGGTTGGTATTACCAATCGGGACTAAAGGGTCTTTTTTTTTCTTTTCCTGCTTATTTCAATTGATGATTCTTTTTTGTTTTAATTTTGTTTTCGAATACGCATTATTCGCTGCAAAGTAATATACATATACACGCGCATACTGTAAAGTTTTCGCTCGATCAATGCACGCAAGCAACACAAGTAAAAGTAAACTAAAACATAATATTACATTTCATCGTCACATGTAAAGTTTGCATTAATTGTACATTTCATCATCACATGTTCTTTGGATCAATATGAAATTTGGCTTTCATCATCACATATTTTG